GCTTTAGGCATATTGTGCAGAAATAAAAATAATTGGAATGTGTCCTGTTTTTTTCTTAAAAATGCAGATAGTAAAATGTGGCAACCACTCACAGATAAGCTACTTAAGCTGTAGATTTAAATTCCTTAGAAGTAGAATGTATCTGTATCTGTAAATCCTTATGTAAAGTATAATCTCTATATTTTTCCATGAATGTTCTTAAAGTGAAGTCTTATCTCTGCAGTCAGTTGTCTTATAAATTTCTATAATACTTGGTTTTGTTTTATAAAGAAGGTAAACATTCTTATTAAGGAATACTGAAAGTTTTAAAAACCCCCAAAGAATGACATTAGGTTTTGTACCTTATTTACTCTTTCAGTTTCTTACACTAGGGAGACAATACAGTATTTACACATGTGAGTTTGATTTATTTCACTTATGATATGGTCTCAAGTCGCATCCATTTACTTACAAAAGCCTCAACATGATCATTCTTTATGGCTGAGTAGTACTCCATTGTATAAAAATACCACATCTTTTGTATCCATTCCTCAGTTGATGGGCATTTGGGTTGTTTTCAAGATCTGGCTATTACAAACTGTGCTGCTGTAAACATGGGTGCACAAAATCGTCAATAAGTTTTGTAAAAGGGAAATAAATTACTTAAAGGGGAAAAAGAACTCAGGAAAAAGGAGAAAAGAAGGAAGGGCAAAGAAAAAAGGTATAAATTTGTATATACGCACTTAAGATAGCTAAGATGATTGTACTACTAATTCTATTAGTTCTTGGAACAAAAAAGTTGACATTCATAGGATTAGATAAGCTTTATGTTTATATTTGATAATCTGAGTAACTCTTTTGAAGATTGTTATGCAAAATAACAACCTTAGTTATGTTCCTACCGCCTTGTTTTGAAGGCCTGTATTGTTACTGTTTTGGGCTCTTTGCTGTTGTTATTTATTTGTCGATTTGTTTCTTGTTTTTCTTGTATTTTGTTTTACTTTTCCCTCTGATACAGAAAGGTTAGATGCACATGTATAGGCTTATAAATGCCTAGAACTTCACCTAAAGAGTTTACAAGAATTGATTTTGTTATGTGTGATGATATGAACAGCTACTTTTAAGAAAATGAGACATTATGGTAGCCACTGCTGCTTTCCTATTATATTGTTTTGAGTCCAATAATGCTTTTATTCCTTATTTTGATTGGTTCTGGTCTGTTTTCTATTATTTGAAGAACTGAAAACATCATACCACAGTGATATATATGCACCCATGTTTATAGCAGCACAATTTGTAATAGTCAGATCTTGGAAACAACCCAAATGCCCATCAACCAAGGACTGGATAAAAAAGATATGATATTTTAATACAACGGAGTACTACTCAGTTATAAAGAAGGATCACATTGAGGCTTTTATAGGTAAATGGATGCTACTTGAGACCATACTTATAAGTGAAATAAATCAAACTCAGACGTGTAAATACCACACTGTCTCCCTCCTGTAAGAAACTGAAAGAGTGAATAAGATCCAAAATCTACAATAAATATTGTGAAAGGGTAAGAAACTTCTCAGAGGGAAAAAAATAACTGAGATAGGGGAAAGGAGAAAAGAAGGAAGGGAAAAGGAAAAAGATATAAATTTTTTATATGAATAAAATAGCTAAGATGATTGTATGACTATTTCTATTAGCTCTTGGAAAAGAAGAGTTAGTACTCATGATGAGATCAATTTTGCATGTCTATATCTGGTGATCTAAGCAACTCTTTTGGAGATAACAACATGCAATATTATAACCATTGTTAAATTCTTATCATCTTGTTTATGCTCTAGATAGAAGTCCTTTGTCTAAAGGACAATTGGCTAAGATTTTATCCTAATTCATGAGTTTTCTTTTCACTCTGTTGGAGATTTATTTTGACATTCAAAAATTTTTTAATAAGATGAGATCCCAGTTGTTGATTCTGGGAAGTGTTTCCTTGCAGTTTGATTTTTGTTCATAAGCTTTCTACCTACCTCTATGTCTTCAAGATTTCTACCTACTTTGTCTTCTAGCAGATTTAGTGTTTCTGTTTTGATATTTAGATCTTTGATCAAGTTTGACTTTAGTTTAGTGCAGGTGGGAGACATGGGTCTAGTTTTAGGTTTTGGCATATGGAGAGCCAGCTTTTCCAGCACCACTTTTAAAGAGGCTATCTTTCTTCCAGTGAACAGGTTTGGCCCCTTTGCCAAAGATAAGGTGGCTGAGTGTGTTTGTAGTTGTGGCTGTATCTACTAATCTATTCCATTGATCTTCAGATCTGTTTTTATTCCAGTACCATGCTGGTTTTATCACAGTAGCTTTGTAGTATAACTTCAAGTCAGGGGTAGGATGCCTCCTGCCTTGCCTATGTTGCCCAGAATTACCTTTGCTATTCTAGGTTTCTTCTGGTTCCAGATGAATTTTAGGAATGGTTTCTTTAGATCTGTGAGGTATGCTAATGGTATTTTGATTGGAATTGCATTAAATCTGGATAAAATTTTGGGAGAATGGCCATTTACATGTTTATTCTTTCTACCCATGTACAAGGAGTGTCTTTCCATTTTCTGAAATCCTCTTTGATTTCTTTTTTCAGAGCAATGTAATTTCCAATGTATAGATCTTTTAGTTCCTTTGTTAGATTGATTCCTAAGTATTTCATTTTTTTGGGATGCTATAGTTAAGGGTGTGGTTTCCCTTATTTCTCTCTAGTGAGTTTGTTGTTTGTGTACAGGGATGCTATTGATTTTTGAGTGTTGACTTTATATCCAGCTACATTACTGAATTTGGTTATTACATCTAGAAGTCTTTCAGTGGAGTTTTGGGGTCTTCTATGTAGAACATCATGTCATCTGCAAATAATGATAATTTAACTTCTTTCTTTCCTATCCTTATTCCTTTTGTTTCTCTCTTTTGTCTAATTGTTCTGGCTAATGTTCCAGAACTATATCAAACAGGAGTGGTGATAATGGACATCCTTGTTTTTTTTTTCCTGATTTTACATTGAAAGCTTTCAGTTTTCATCCATTTAGTAAGACATTGGCTGTTGGCTTATTATAGATGGCGTTTATCAGATTGAGATAAAGACCATCAATTCTAATTTGTTGTAGGGTTTTTATCATGAATGAGTGTTGGAATTTATTAAAGGTTTTTCCTGCATATTGAGATGGCCATGTGACTCTTGTCTTTGGCTCTATTGATGTGGTGGATTATGTTTATTGACTTGTGTCCCTGTATTCCTGTGATAAAACTCATTTGGTTGTGGTATATAATTTTCTTGATGATTTGCTGCATTCTGTTTGCCAGTATTTTATGGAGGATTTTTGTATCTATGTTCATTAGGGAGATTGGCCTGTAGTTCTCTTTTTTTTGGTTGGGTCTTTCTCTGGTTTTGGTATTAGGGTAATACTTGCTTCCAGGAACGAATTTCCTTTCAATTTCACTGAAGAGTGTGAGAAGCATTGGCATTAAGTCTTCCTGAAATTTCTTTGAGAATTCAGCAGTGAATCCATCAGGAACTGGGCTTTTCTTTGTTGGTAAGATTCTAATTACATTTTTAATTTCATTACCCAAAATTTGGTTATTCAACAGTTTTACATCTTCTTGACCCATTGGGTAGTTCATGTTTCTAGGAATTTGTCCATTTCTTCTGTTATTGAACCTCTGAGAGTAAAGGTTTTCAAAGTAGGTGTTGTTGATCTTCTGTATTTCCACAGGATCTGTAGTGATTTCACCCTTTTCATTCCTTATTGCATAAGTTTGAATTTTTCCTTTCCTTTTCTGATTAGGTTGACTAGGATCTTATTAATTTTATTTATTCTTTCAAAGAACCAACTCTGTTTTTTGGTTGTTGTTGTTTTGTTTTGGTACTGGGGATTGAACTCATGACCTTGCGCTTGCCGGGCAGGCACTTATGCCACTGAGCTAAATCCCCAGCCTGAAAGAACCAACTCTTTGATTCATTAATTTGTTGTATTGTTTTCTTAGTCTCTGTTTCATTAATTTCTGCTCTGATCTTTTCAACTTCCTCCATTCTTTGCTCTTGACTTGCTCTTCTTTTTTCTAGATGTTTGAGGTGTAGCATCAGGTTGTTTGTGCTCATTCTGTTTTCCTGACGTGAGAATTCACTGCAAAAATTTTCCCTCAGAGGACTGCTTTCTATCCGTCCCACAGGTTCTGGCAAGTTGTATTTGCATTTTTGTTTGCTTATAGATATTGTTCAATTTCTTCTTTAATTTCCTCCGTGACCCATTGATAATTCAGGAGGGTATTATTTATTTTCCATGTGTTTATGGAGTTTTTGTTATTTCTTTTGTCATTAAATTCCAATTTCATGGCACTATGGTCAGATAAAAAAATACTAAATTGGTTTGGGGTGTAGCTAGGTGGAAAGTACTCACCGAGCATGTGCAAGACCCAGGTTTGATCATCAGTACTGAAACAAAATCATCAAACATTTATTGCAGGTCACGAGTTAGATAGAGGCCCCATGCAGGGCTGCTTTACCCACACGGGGAGCAGAGTCTTCCCCTCAGTCACAGATTCCTGTCTTGGATGTCCTCGCAGATCCGGTAGTGTTCTTTTTGCTTAGAGCCTACAGGTCTGTATGTGATATCTAAGTGTGTTTTCCTGTGAGCTCTATGGGTTGGTGCTCAGGCAGCAGTCAGCACTTTGCAAGGTACATGGGTCCCACCTGCACTCAACGCATACAGGCCTCACCCAGATGCTGAGGTGATTTCTGCAGACTGTTAATGTTATTTATGGGGTGTTGGTGACACACATGTAATACCTAGGCTTCTGAAGGCAGTGGCCTTCTTTTTATTCCCATGTACCAACCACAGCAGACACAAACTAAAAGAAAAATAAGAAGCCACAGTTAATTATAAATACAAGATGATAATGTACTAAAAATTAAATGACTGAAAATGCGTTCTTCAGTATCAGGGCTGATTCATATACACAGTGGAAACACATTCTACACCAGGAACGTTGCCACTCACCCACTCGCACGGCTTTGGACATCTGACGAGTCATGGAACCTCTTGGAGCCCCTCACAAGGGTAGCAGGCCTCAGTGCAGCACGAGAACGCATGGTCATAGAGATGTGTCAGTAGGCACAGGCCGATGTCTGTCACATCGGGGGCTCAGCAGTCCCGGAGAGCTTCTCAGCAGGGAGCCCGTGAGGGGCTCTGACTCCAGACCCAGGGCAGGGGCCGACTTCTCAACCCTGTCTGCCTCCATTGCAGCACACTGGTCTGAACTCTGTGGTTTTGGAAAGAATAAACAATGCATGAGACTCGGAAATCTAGAGAAAAATTTGTCGTACATCGGTCTAAGGTCTCAACTTCTCCAAATATGTTCTGGGAACGCTTATCACATGACATAAAGGAGGCACCCAGCTTCGTCACTGAGCCGGGGTGGGGGCCCATGCCCTGAAGGGTGCACCAGGGTAGCGGGGCAGGACATTTAGAAGTGACCTAAAGGTGCTGAGTGTCATCAGGAGACTCCCTGGGGCATAATGAGGAGTCTGATGGTTGCTAATTCCGCCTCCATCACTTTGTCATCCCTGGCACAAGACACGGGATCCTTGCAACACAAAGGCTGCATAGTGTGTGGTGGCTCACAGCCACTGTTCCTGTTCAGCAGCATAAACATGGAAATACATGGTGCCCCTGTCATGGGGCTGGGAAGCTGAGGCACGGAGGCGAGGGCGTGGAACACACCTCCCAGTCTCTTCCAGTGACAGCAGGAGCCCGTGAGGGGACCTCACACCAGTGACCAGCTTTCCACACAATGGGACATGTTCCAAATAAATTGTAGAATCCAAATTAAAAAAACCCAAACAGAAAGGAAACACTTTCTGGCTTTATCCCAAGAACACACTTTGTCCTGTGTCAGAAGCCTGTCCCTGTGTAAGGCTGTTTGTCTGGCTCTCCTTCATCTGTCTTTCGAGCACGATGAGTTTGGGGTGCTGCTGGCTGGGTGAACCAGCCCAGTGCATGCTTCTTTCTGGTCAGGAGACCTTGGAGTCCAGTGGTCCCCAGGCCAAGTGACCCCTGGTCCCATGACCCTCGCTGTGCAGAGAGAGGCTGGGTTACAAATGTCAAACTCATCCCTGAGCTTGAAGTCCGATTTCAGAGGACAAGGATTGTGACCCAGCCAGAACCCTGGGAGAGAACCATCTACACAACTATCACTCCTGAAAATTACGTGCTTTTTAAATTTTTGGTACTGGGGATCGACCCCTGGGCCTCCACACTGAACCAGAACCACAATTATTTTTAAGTTTTTAAAAATTTTGATACAGATCTTGACAAGCCACCAAAGTGCTGGGGCAGGACTTAAACTAGAGATCCTCCTGTCTCAGCCTCCCAGAATGCCAGGATTACAGGCATGCTGTCAGACAGTTGTTACCCAACAGGTGAAGTCCTCCTCCTTAGATGCCTACAAGTGTGGTGTGGGCGAAGGGGCCGAGTCTGGAGGCCTGCACTGTCCCCAGGGGCTGTGTTATGTGACAGAAGCCTGTTTGGCTTTCCAGTCTTAACTCACAGAAACAGCGTTTTCATGCACAGCTGACCTCTTGGCTTCCAGCGACCCCCTGTGGCCCTGGGGCAGCTGTGCAGCCTTCTAACTAGCCAGGTCTGGCCCAGGGTCTTGGGGGTGGTGGTGGTGACTGCCCTCCTTCTGCTTCCCAGCTGAGCTGGGGCAAGGGTGGGGTTGGAGCCGGTGAGGGGAGGGGAGGAGACAAAGCCCGGGGTGAGCACCCACCCGCTGCCTGCGGTGCTGAGTCCACCAGCCCTTGCGCTGGGAGGCCATGGTGGCCTGCATTCGGGCGCATCGGGGTTCTCAGAGGATGGGAAGCCCTCCGGCCTGTTGGGCACCCTACATCCAGGACAAGGACGAATTGCTCCTCTGGGCCGCGGAGGCTCTCCCTGCTCTGAGACTTTCACACTGTTTCAGAGCAAATCAACCCTGTGCAGTGGGCATGGCCCTGGGGCGCGGGCAGCTCGGAGTCCAGCCTTGGTCCCCGGCCCTTCAGGATGATCAAGGGCCCTCCCGGGCTGCGGTGGTGCTGTCAGACCCAGCATGCAGATCTCCTTCCTTCCTTAAAATCCAGCGCCGGAAGTAAGGAAGCCAAAGCCAGGGGACTTCACCTCAGAGGCACGCTGGCTCGGAGCCTGGGCCAGTGACTCAGCCTCCAGGGGCGGCCTTCTGGAAGGCGACCCAGGCCTGGGGTGAGGGCACCCGGCTGGCCACCTGGCTCCTGGGGGCTGGGACCAGGCCGGTGCGTTACTGTCTTTGCCATCTGCAATTCCGGCTGCTTTTCAGATGAAGTCCTTAAATACCTAAACCTGGACTTTCCTAAGACAGACATTGCCACCCACTTCTCTTGCTGTACCACTGTGGACATCAAGATTTCCACATTTTGAGACTTTCAAATTGAAAGCAAAACAAACAAACAAACAAAAACCAAAAACAATATCTCAGCACCTTTCCTGGGACTGAAGAGACGCTCAATGACAGGTCAGCATTAGGCCACGGGAGTGTGGTGACACCCAGGCCCCCCCTTCCATTACTTGAGGTGTGGTTTCCAGTGATCCCAAGGAGCATGCTCCATTAATTCTGCTTTAATGGCGGTGGTTTTATTTTGTGAATTTGCACTGTTTTACTAGTTTCCCATGGGAAGAAACCTCCAGGCTCTCAGTGTGTGACACTTGTAAGCTGTTGCTCATCTGGGGTTGTTGTAAGCCACCGATCAGTCTTGATTGTGTTTTCACGCTCTCCAATCTTTATTAGGGTAAGACACTGACAGTAATGAAGAATGTTTTGTATCCTGTATGTATGTGGGTTATCAAAACATGTGGTTTTATTCTGTTGTGCACATCTGAGAAATACACAAAGGTCACAGCTTTTAAAAGGATGAGCTGAAAACACACAGTCGCAGTCAGACTTTCTCTTCTTGCTGTCCGCTCCTGCTCTTGGCTCTCGGATTCCTCTGCCAGGACAGTCGCAGTTAGACCGCAATTCACAGCGCTCTGGAAACAAACAAACCAGTCTTCACCTCTGTTAGGAACCTTTCTCAGTCTGCTAATCCAAGTTGTTGATTTTGAGCAAAATTAGGAACTGTTTCTAAAGCAAGAAGTAATTCTGTTTCTAAGATTCTAAACGTTATGGAGCTGGCCCTGTTAGGTGTGGATCCACACTGGAAGTGGCCGACGCTGCACAGTTCATTCCCTCCGCAGCCTCCTTCCCACTTCGGAGAGTCCAGGGTGCGCTGCAGAGCCAGGGGTGTTGAGAACTTGGGAAAAATACACCCCTGTCCGGGACCCTTGAGTCTCACACACACACACCAAGCCAGGGTTGGACAGGGACACACACAGGCTCATGGGGCAGATCCGTCAGGCCCTTTCTGGAAGTTCTTGACACACTTAGAACGCACGGCTAGACTGCATGGAGGGCATGTATGATTTCCTGTCTTGGTAACTTGCACCCACCCCGAGGGCAGCTCTTTGATCCAGGAACCAGTGAGTCATTTGCTGAGATCGCTGCTGGATGAAGGGTGAAGCTCTGTGTGTGTTAGTCTCCCTTTTGCTGAGAGCGAAGCCTGGGCAGGCTGAGCTCCCTGGAAGGCCTTTCCGAGTAGACGGCTCTTGCACAGCGACTCCCTGTCCTCCAGAGTGAGTCCCTTCCCAGCTGCCCAGGGAAAGCTTTCCTACGGGTCCAGGGTGTGTGGTGCAGCTTGGACGGTTTTACTGCAGTTTCGCAGTAATTTATTTCATTCGCTCTTCTTGAACTTTTAAAGTAGAAAGAATAGGTGCCTATGCTTTATGGATAAAGACAGTTTCAGACAGGTTAAGTGACTTCTAAAAAGTGGCAGCTAACAGGACAGTTCTCTTTTGCTTGCTACCCTGAAGTGCAGAAAAACGACCAGGGCAAGTATAGCTTGTCTTAGGGTTAACCAGACCCCAGTTAACTTCTTTTTGTACCTGATTTTAGCTGAGTACGCGACAGCTCCTGTGTTGCTCCAGAAGTCCCCAGTGCGCGTGCCGCTCTGGCTGCATTTGTGTCTTGAGCCCTGCTCCTCCCGAAGTAGACAACCTCAATGCAGTGGCAACGGGACGCAGAAATGAGGTGCTGGATTGCTGGATGCAATCGCATGGCAAGAAGCCGCCTGTTAGGTAAGACTTTGATGTCCTGAACTGTCATGTGGAGCATGTGACTCTGGTGGGGGGACTGCTGGAACCCTAGGAGTCTGTCACATGGCGCCCCTGGAGCTGCCACCGGGGGAGGGACACCAGCCAGTGCACAGCTCAGGGCTTGGGTTGCTTGTGTGAAACTCTGACGGGCGGAGGGTGTGTGGGGCCAAAGAGAGCGCTCCCCTTTCCTCCCTCTCTCCCTTATCTGCTTGGGCAGTGTGTCTTTCTGTTGACTCATATTTTGCTTTGTTTTTTTTCCCCCAGTATCCACCCCAGCTCTCTTTTCTTCCTCCTCTTTATAGCTTTTTGTATTTCTCTTGCTTATTTCATATTGATTTTCTATAAATGCGCATGTATTGTTAAAACATTTTAAAGCCTTATATATGTTAAGAAAATATGAATTTAAGAATTTTTGACTTATTACATATGTGAGAAAGAAAATGAAATTTATTAGTCATTGTATTATTATTATTTCCTTAATCCCTGAATGTGTGAATGAAGCATTTCTGTCTGGCTCACAGTTTGTCTCCTGTGTAAACACCTCGTACCCTCCAGCCTTGCTTCCTGGATCACTGCAGCTCTGGATCCGAGGGTTTCGGGGTATAGCAGCAGTGTTTCAGGCAAGGTCTCCATCAGGACCCCTCCGAAGGAGGCTGCGGAGGAGCCATGCAGCCAGCAGGTGTCAGTCTCACCCAGGAGAAGCCAGCAGAGTGGCTTTGCCTTTGTGGGAGTTTGCTTTTCTGAATGAACTTTGGAAGAAGCAGAATTTAGCTCTTGTATGTTTGCAGCAAATTCCGGGTTAGTTTAAAGTGGGGAAACGAAGCCTTGTCTCAATCAGGCACCACCCCACAGCCGGAATTCTACACGGATCGTTTTCTTGTCACAGAACATTATCAACTGGGATGTGATTCCCTTTCTGCCTGGACATCTGAGCTTCCTTCCTTTGGGAGCAGACGGCTCAAGCTTTTTTTTTCCTTGCAAAGTGATTGACTCATGATCGCAATGGAGGTGCAGGGGCAGTGCTTCCGTCTGAGCAGGTCCTCAGGAACTGCCACTAG